GACATACAGTTCTACACACTACCTGTCGGCCTTTAAACAATAGTCATACATACAGTCGTTCAGAAAGTGCTCCAGACAGTCCTATCATACCGGTGGCACTTTATTAATTTAAAAAAACTCATCTCCCCCTAAAGGAAAAAAAAAAAAAAAAAAAAAATATTTAGGCCTACCCGAGTTCAACCGTCAAGCGTGAAAACATTTTTTCACTCTGTACTATTGATATAAAACATGTGGAGTTGGGGAAGGGTGGTTTTGAAGAGGAAGAATGACACACCAAAAATGCAAAATATAAATAAGAGATGTAATTGATATTTTTTTCAAAAAACGTCTTGGTCGAAAATTTTTTCATATTTAATCCAAAGGTGAAAGGTATATCAGAATATTTTAATGAAATAAATACATAAATAAATGATTATTAACAAAATTAGCCTATTGAAAGTTTTCTTGTAGTTTTTACGGTAAACTTGACGTTTAAATAAAGAATACATAATTTGCTCGGAAATGAGACCAATGTTTGGTGCTTGGCGGTAATTATGATATTCCTGTACTCAAAACATTTTCATATAGTATGATATAGTCATTACTAATTACGTTTGTAAGATAGGAAGACATTTTAAGTTTTGAAGCGCAAGAAAAGTGTTTACAGGATTTGTAGTTTTTGTAAGACTTTTAATTTATGTATTAGAAATAATTTTACATACAATTTTACCAATTAATTATTTTAAAGCTCAGTTAAAGAATTTATTAATGTGAATTATTCAATTTCAATTACAAAAAAAAAAACAAAAAAAAACTAAAAACTCGGACCCAGTAAAATAGATAATAGTAATAGAGGCAGAGGCAAAGAGGTAATAAAGGGAGAAACTGTAATCAAGTTAGTAGCAAAAATGGAAATAAGTAAAACAAAGTATGGTTGAAATCTGAACATAGGAATGCAACAAAACAATGAATGTCTCAGTAGGATACCAATGCAAAGCAGAAATTCTCCTAAGTTCTAAGGCTAAGGCAGTTTCAATCTGTCTTCACCAAAATTTCAACGACCACAAGTCATACCATCCTTAAAACCTTCACCTGGTACATGAGGCCCTCTCAACATAACTGAACCAGGATTAGCCAAACTTCTCAAAAACCTGAAGCCCAATAAAGCGCCCTTACCTGACTTTATCCCGAACATTGTCCTGAAGACCTTGGCTGACAACATTGTCCCAACCTTAACCCACATTTTCCAAAAGTCGCTTGACTCCGGCAAACCCCTGCTAGACTGGCTTGATGCCAATATCACTAGTGCCTACAAGAAACCCACCAAACTACCGCCCAATATCCCTGACCTCCGTCCCATGCAAAATCCTAGAACACATCATCTGTTGCCACATCATGAACCACCTTAAACACTACAACATTTTGACCCACCTAAACCACGGATTCGGCTCTGGATTCTCAACAGAAACTCAATTAATCATCACCACCAATGACCTCCTTGCCTCCTATGACAAAGGTAACCAGAGCGACATGGCGATTCTCGATTTCTCCAAGGCCTTTGACACTGTTCCACACAGCCTTCTTCTACACAAGCTCCACCACTACGTCATTACCGACAACCTTCACTCCTGGCTCTCAACATTCCTAACACAAAGGACCATGCAAGTAGTGGTAGATGGCGTCCGATCAGGCAAAGCCATATTAGACTCAGGAGTTCCTCAAGGCACATTGCTCTTTCTCTGTCACATAAACAACCTCCATGATACTGTAAAATCCCAAGTCAGGCTGTTTGCAGATGACTGTCTTGTATACAGAGAGATAAACGGCTACAATGACCACAACCACCTACAAGCACATTTGAAGTGCCTTATGAATTGTGCGGAAAATGTGGCATGAAATTTAACGAAACCAAATACTACACAATGAGCATCTCAAGAAAAAAACCATCAACCTATATGTACTCTCTAAACAAGAACATTCTCAAACAAGTATCAAATAATCCATAACTTTGAATTCTCTTCTTGAATAATCTAAAATGGTCGCCTCATATAAACAAAATTTAAAAAAAAGCGAACTCCCCACTTGGTTTCATTTGAAGAAATCTGCGCCATTGCCCAACATCCTGCAAACGAAATGCCTATCTCGCACTCGTCCGTCTACTACTAGAATATGGTGCGATCATCTGGGACTCATAACCTAAAACAAGACGTGGACAAGATAGAGCGAATACAACATAACGCAGTGCGCTTCATCGCAAGTGACTACAAATCCACCACTCCTGGTTTCGTCACTGACCTCTTAAAAAGATTTGACATCCCCTCCCTCAAAGACAGATGAGAAAAGCTCCGCCTAACATTCCTATATAAAGTGGTCACAGGGCTAGTGCCGACCATCCCAGCTAACACATATCTCACCCCACAGAAGCCTGGTCGCTTAATCAAAGCCAAACGCTCAATAAACACTGACTTCACCTCTGACGACTCCATGAGCAGTTACATCGGAACAATAGTAATTGCTTCACTGTGCCTCGGTGTAACACAGTTCAATATAAAGAATCATTCTTCCCACGAACAATAATTGCTTGGAATAATCTGCTAGGAGCCGATAGGATAGCCGCATCGCTTCCCCAACCGTTGCATATATGCTAGTACATGGATGCAGCAACGTACCCTACCAGAACCTTCATTAGTGAACAAACAAAAAACAGAATTAAATTAAAAAATAGCATTTAGCTGAGAAGTAGTATCTGAGAGGCAGTTCGTTGTTTTATTGCGTTCATTTTTTTCAGGTTTGACAATACTTTGTCTTACTCATTTCCTTTTTTACTAACCTGATTGCAATATCTCCCCTTATTACCTCTTTAATTTAGTAGACTTAATTAGGATATTACCAAAACCTTGTTAATTTAAAGATAAATAACTATATTTAGATTCGAAACATTAGATGGCCTTATTATTTACTCATTAAGTGCAAAAAACTAATGCGATGAAACAGGATGTAAAGTAAAGCCCTTCAAAACAAAAATACTGAGATACACCAACTCATCCTCATCTCACCAGTTGATTGTAACAGATACACCACCTCATCTTTATCTCACCAGTTGATTGTAACAGATACACTACCTCATCCTCATCTCACCAGTTGATTGTAACAGACACACCACCTCATCCTCATCTCACCAGTTGATTGTAATTGATTGTAACAGATACACCACCTCATCCTCAACTCACCAGTTGGTACACCACCTTATCCTCATCACACCAATTGTTTGTAACAGATACATTGCACGTTACCTTATACATGACACTGTCCCATGCATGTCTAAATACTAAATGTAGAAAAAAGCTATCTACGTTATATTGCGGATAGCAGAAGAGACCTTATAAAGCCGCAAGCTGGAGGCCATGTCATCTTATTTCATTATTCTTTCTGCCATCATATATAAAAATACATGTTTAGTACCAGTATGTAAAAATGTAAAATTAAATTTTACAGCTTCCCTGAACAATGTCTGGAAGTAGTACAAATTTCGCTATAGCTCGCCAGCTGAAACAAGTTTGTGATAAAGTTCAAGCAGCAGCTGCCAGAAGACCTCAGGTGTGTAAGTAACAATTTGTCTTATATTTATAGGCCTTAAGTAAGCATCTTATTCTTCTGAATATGAATTTATTGGTTAATTTTAAATATCACGGTTCTAAACTGGTGTGCAATTCATCTGTCTCTGGATCAAGAGATGGCAGGTCCACACTTGTCCGGGTTCATTCCCAATTTTGGGCAGAATCCACACATAAGACAAGCGAGGCATCTATTGTTTGCGGAGGAGGTCAATTCCGAGCTTAACCACAGAAGAGAGAAGGCAGCAGCCAACTTTCCATGGGATTATTAATGTATAGCTTACACAAAACTATAGCAGTAGCATCATCATGTCAGCCTTGAGCTTACAGTAGCAGTAGCATCATCATGTCAGCCTTGAGCTTACAGTGATTAAAGAGAAATGTATCTATAGCAAGAAAATGGAATACAAAAATTATAATAAATTTAATTACCCTCACTTTTTTCTCCTCCAAAATGAATCAAATATCCTAAAAGAATTTAAGTAAAAGTTTGGGAAAAGAGATTTATGTTAAGATTCAAAAACGTGGTAGTTCCCAGATATTTGCCTAATTTTTGTGTAAACTCCTTTTGAACTTTAAAAATATTTTTAAAATTATTCCTAATAATGTCTGCAGACACTTAACACTTAATGCCAAACATTCAGTCATTATTTGTAATTTACTGAAAAGTTAATGGCCTCAATTCAGACAGATATTTAAAAACATCTATCACATTCCAAATTAAAACCTTTCATAAATGTATAAGTTTTATTCAAAATAAATAGTTACAAATATTTTTTACCATAGCATATCCATGTTTTTTGGGACTTCATTTCAACAATATCCCAATGTTGACTTCATCTCAACAATATCCCAATGTTGTCTTCATACTTTTGAAAGCACCTGCAATATTCTGTGCCAAGATTAGTGGCAGTGTCAAAGACCAAAGGAACAGATCTAGTAATTGAAGCTTATAATGCTGGACAGCGTCACTTTGGAGAAAATTATGTATGTTAATGACTCAAATAAAAAATGTAAATAGCATTCTCTAACTTGTGTCAACTAGTTTACTATTAACTATTAATTATTTACTATTAATTATTTACTATTAAATAATTAATATTAACATATTAACTCGATCAAATTTTGAATTTGGTCCATTAATTTTTGTATGGATACATATTCTATTTTGAGATGGCTTAAAAGCATTCATAGACGCACATCATTTTAAGAAGGAAATTTCAGGGAAAAAAATTAAATTATATAAGCGTATAACACCCACACATCATTTGCCCCCTATTTTCAGGGAGAAAAAGTGTGTCTTATACTTCGATAAATACGGTAATATTATTTTTAAATGTTTGAAGAATTTTTGTTCATTAAGTTCAATCTGTACATTTTGGGAATATGTGAATTTTGAGAATCTTGTTAATATTGAATTGTGACTTCCAACAAATTTGTAGGTCATTTTGATTAATTTTGAAGAACACTCTATCATTTCAGGTTGTGGAACTTTATGAAAAATCTAATGATATTGAGGTAATTCTATTTTTTGGTACAAAGTTGTGTGAAAACTAGTAAAATTTTGAAAATATCCACATTTATACTATTTATTTGGTAACCTGACAAACTGTGGCTTCACATAACATGGTTAATAAAAATTTTTTAATACAACATATAATGACAATGATCAATTTTAGAGTGTAATTATTGTCTTGTAAAATTCTTGCTAATATTACTAATAGTAATAGTTTTATGTGAATCAGTCAATAAATCATAAATAGTAAAGCAATCCAGACAACTAATCTCATGATCATTATATTTTATAATAGCATACAAAGCCAAGTCTAAAATAATTATAAACCAATTATTTCCAGATTCAAGATCATTGTAAAGACATTAAGTGGCATTTTATTGGTCGCCTGCAAAGAAATAAAGTCCCCAAAATTCTAGGTGTGTCTCATTTTGTGATGAAATCTTGAGTACATGGTACTTTTAGTGGAAATAGTTTATTATCATTATTATATGATTTAGCACTTGATGATTTATGGACTGCATTTGATTAGTTAGCACTACACTGCTAAGTTAGTTGTATTCATTTAGCACTACACTGCTAAGTTAGTTGTATTCATTAAGCATTACACTGCTAAGTTAGTTGTATTCATTAAGCATTACACTGGTAAGTTGTATTAAGTTGTATTCAGTTAGCTGTAAAGCTAATTAATTTTCAGTTTTTCTGATTGAAATTGATATATGAATAAATATGACAGAAGAAAAACTGCAAGTGGCATTTACAATCAATCTAGGTACCCCATCTTCAATGCTTAAGTCTTTCTGATCATAAGCACTTACTATTTAAAGCTCAATATTCTACTTTATTTTAATTTTGTCTAAATGTAGAAGTACCAAATCTGTTTGTGATTGAAACTGTGGACAGTGAACGTTTGGCTAAAGCTTTAAATGATGGCTGGGGGAGGTTGAAGAAAACTGAAACACTGCAAGTCATGGCCCAGGTCAACACAAGTGGAGAAGGAAGTAAGTTGATTTAATCAATAGGCCCAGGTCAACACAAATGGAAGAGTAAGAACCGGTAAAGTGATTTAATCAATAGGCCCAGGTCAACAACACAAGTGGTGAAGTAATTAAGTTGATTTAATCAATAAGCCCAGGTCAACAACACAAGTGGTGAAGTAAGTAAGTTGATTTAATCAATAGGCCCAGGTCAACAACACAAGTGGTGAAGTAATTAAGTTGATTTAATCAATAAGCCCAGGTCAACAACACAAGTGGTGAAGTAATTAAGTTGATTTAATCAATAAGCCCAGGTCAACAACACAAGTGGTGAAGTAAGGAAGTTGATTTAATCAATAGGCCCAGGTCAACAACACAAGTGGTGAAGTAAGTAAGTTGATTTAATCAATAGGCCCAGGTCAACAACACAAGTGGTGAAGTAAGCAAGTTGATTTAATCAATAAGCCCAGGTCAACAACACAAGTGGTGAAGTAAGTAAGTTGCAAATTTATTTAATCAATTGTTTTGGTGCATATTCTGGTGTGAATATACATTTTGAACAATGATTCATATGTCAATAAAATCATAAGAAAATAATTCCCTTGTAGGCGTAATGATATGAACAAAATGTCATAAATTAAAATGAAATTGAAATAGAAAGGATCTGTAGAGTAACATCTTGACAAGAAAGTGCAACTATTTTAGCTCAAGATGTAAGTGGATCAGCAGTTTGTTTTTCTGATTGTAAAAAAAAAGTCAATAACAAACATAAACCTATTCTTATCATACAAAATAATTTGTCTTTTCTGGAAATTAGTTCTTTTCTTTTGATAAACAAAATTTTTGGATGAAACAATCAACCTTTTAAAGTCTTACTTCTTTATCAAACAATCAACCTTTCAAAGTCTTACTTTGGGATGAAACAATCAACCTTTCAAAGTCTTGTTTTGGGATGAAACATTCAACCTTTCAAAGTCTTGCTTCTTTATCAAAATTGTCAGCGTATTTACAAACTGTAAATAAACAGGAGGCAGAGTTTCATCGTCTGCAAATCAACTCAGTTGTAATGCAAACTGTGTTGTGTTTAGTGTGATGAAAAAATTATCTGCCATATTCGCAACAATTTCATCCATGTCTTTGGACTGAATTTTTGATGTGGGAAATAATCTTAGTACTGTCGGATGGGGAAAAACTTTATTCAAAACTTCGCTTTTTATAAATTATGGATAAATTATTTTAACTGTATTTGACAATCCATATTAAGCATTCAACAATGAAGTGTTATTTATTTGTAGATGACCAATAAATTGTCATATGCATATGAAGTGTTATTTATTTGTAGTTGAAAAATAAAGTGCCAAATATATATTTAGTGTTATATATTTGTAGGTGACCAATAAAGTGTCATATGCATATGAAGTGTTATATATTAACATTCCTGTCCTTCCTCAATTTAAAGTACCTTTCACCCCCACCCTGTGTTATTCCAGCTACTTTAAGAACCACTGCTTTATAGTAGGCTATGCGAAAATAATTTAATTTTTATTCTTTACTTTTCCTTTTGCTGCTGTTTAGACAAAAATGGCTGCTCTCCTCAAGATACAACAAAGTTGGTCCAGTACATCAGAGAAAAGTGTCCCTCCATAAGTCTCATAGGTCTAATGACGATTGGCTCCTTCGATCATGATCTCAGTGCTGGACCAAATCCAGATTTCAAGGCAAGGGCTGCTCATCAAAAAGCCATTTACAATTTACACTGATTAGTTTTAATTGTATTCGAAGACAATCAGGACAAGAAGCGTGAACTCTTTGTAGGGAAGGAATTGTTTGAAATGACTGACAATAGTATATTAGACACTCATTTGTATTTTGCTTTATAATTTGGTTTTACGTGTGTTATTTGTTTGTATTTACTTGATAGAGTCTCTGCGCTGTGAGGAAAGAAGTGTGCGATGCACTCAATATTTCTGAAAAAGATCTGGAACTAAGCATGGGGATGTCCGCAGATTATGAACATGCTGTAAGGATAAACATTATTCTCTCTCTAAAGATAAACATAATTCTCTCTGTAGAGATAAACATTCTCTCTGTAAAGATAAAATTATTCTTCTTAAAGGTTAACATTATTCTCTCTCTAAGGATAACCTCATTTTCTCTTATGCTTTAAAAGTTTTGGCTTTTATTGCATGATTAAATTAATATTATTTTAATATATAGTTGATGATTTTGGCTTTAACATTGATTCCAAAGCTTATTGGCTAGAAATTCATCTTTCAGATGTTTGTTCGCCTGTATGCTATTTGAAAGTTTCCGATTATATTTTCAGATTGAAGTAGGTAGTACCAATGTCAGGGTGGGCAGTACGATATTTGGAGACCGTGGCCCACCGCATGGCAAGACAGCACCCGCAGGCGCCTCTACCGATTCAGGCAAAGATGGCAGTGATGCAAATCTCCTGATGAATAAAATGGAAAGCTTGGACCTCCATCACCTTGCCGTTAACTGATTCATTAAATCAGTCTCTCTTCTTGACCTGCACCGTGTACAAGCAATGGACCCCAATGTCAATTAAAAATGCAACTTTGTTATTGAAAGAGGCATAAATTCATGTGTGTGCATGGCTGATACATTTATGGAGAAATAAAGTGCAGCGACTGAAATGTGGGACAGGTTTGATCTACAGACTTATACATGGTAGAACTTTGAAATATGTGAGACATGCTTTGTTTTTGTTGTCTCTATTTCAAAATTTGCATTATCAATTAATAATATTCAGATTATTTTTCTATCATAATTGAATTTGAATACACTTATTCATAAATTTATTTTTATATCAACAATTAAATCAATTTTGAAATTTTTCCTGGTGTCCATTCGGTTCCGTCTGTGGCATGGTGCATTGATTTCACTCATTTTATTGATTCAATAATTTTCTATTGAAATTGATCATTAAAATTTCGCAACATCTGGACTTACGCATTTATAATTTGAAAAAAAAAAAAGCATTTTATATATAAAACTTGTTTGCTCTATTTTGTTTGAATTTAAGTTCAAATAGATGTTTGTGCAAGAAATCTCCAACAGGGTCTTGGGAACAAGTTTTAAAAGACTACGTGACCAATCCATTGACACTTTAAAAGAAATTTATTTCAAATATTCATTTCATAGCCACAAGATACAAACATATAAGTTAAATAACACCCAAGTACTAAATAAGATGAAACAATATAGGGGAGACAAAATGGCTAATGGTACCACTATGGACTGCAGAAGCTTAATTGGACATTAAGAAGCTAAGTCTGTCCAAGTCCAAGATCACTTTGATAATATACATGAGAAGGTTTTGTTTATATCTCAAGTTTTTAGTTAGGACTTGAGGATTTATCCACTAAGGTACAATAAAAAAAATGTGCGCTTGTATTGAATGTTCTTATACAGAGTCTCTATGGTTAAGTGCCATCCACAAATGACATCACACAACTAGTGATGATGTTTCATTGAAGGTGGCTAAAATATGTTACGCTTTGAGTTGGGGGGGGGGGGTGTTTAGTAAAATCGGCCACAACTGTGTGACATTTGTAGACGGCCCTTATATAGTTAGCATAACTAAATTAGGATAGTTTTAAAGAGGTAATTTCAATATTTATGATAAACTGATTTTTTAATCTATAGAAAACACAAACATGCATACTAATAAATACAAATTCATTTAGGTTTTTGTTTTTTCAAAAAATAAACATTAGAAATTAAAGTGATTAGCGTAATGGTTATCAGATAACATTCATTTAACTACTAAGATAATACAGTGTGGGCCAGTTTCACTTGAAACAGAATGTCACTTTTTAGTCATGTTAAACTAGCTACGGCTGTTACACAAAGACATGTTTTATAATTTAACCAAAGAAAGTTCATAACTTTTGCTTTTGAATACAGAGTCCATAATTTTGATAATTAGATGTTATTTTTTGTACCGGTATCTCGGATACACGAAATTTAATGTTGCTCCAATAAAAAACAAACAAAAAACCAGTTCATAATTAAATTGTATCATGAAACTAGGTCATGTCATGGATGAGTTTGGCCATAATGTTACAGATGCAACAGTTGCTAAATGGATGAAAATTGAACTCTAGGTGTGACAGAAGCTGAATGAACAATGTCTAACTGTAAAACTGTGACAGAAGCTGAATGAGCAATGTCTAACTCTAGGTGTGATTTTTTTCGGTGAAAGAGAAGTGTCTAACTCTAGGTGTGACTGTGACAAAGAAGTGTCTAACTCTAGGTGTGACAGTAACAAAGAAGTGTCTAACTCTAGGTATGACAGTGACTAAGAAGTGTCTAACTCTCGGTGTGACGGTGACAAAGAAATGTCTAACTCTAGGTGTGATGAGGACAGAGAAAGGTCTAACAACAATGCTGACATTTAACATACATCTATACTTACGAGTAATAACAATGTATGTACAGTGAATATTTTATTGTTGTCTTGATAATAGAAGACAACTTATTCATATTTGACAAAATGTAGTTCTTAAGTGCAGACACAACCATCAAGTCTGAACGAAATTCCTTTACAAAAAAGTTTTTTTTTTTTTTTTTTAAATACTGTTCTTTTATTTTGCTTTTGATGTTTTTTTTTTATTTGTTAAAATAAAGTTTTGGTCAATTGTTTTGAGAATAAATGCAAGGATAAATGAAACAGGCTGAACTTCAAAAAAAATTTCTTTAAAAAAAAATTTTTTTTTTTTTTTTTTAAATACTGTTCTCTTAATATGCTGTTGATGTTATTTTTATAATTGTTAAAATAAAGTTTTGGTCAATTGTTCTGAGAATAAATGCAAGGATAAATGAAACAGGCTGTACTTCAGCAACTTCAGGCAGCAAGAAGCGGTGATTAACACAAGTTTACATTCCCAAATAGATATCTGTTGAATAATTCCTGTGTATTAAAGTAAGACCGAAATATTCTTTCACAGGTAGTGAAACTTTACTCATGTTTAGATAAGAAACAAAATTTTAAATACAAATAAATGACATATAATCATGTCTCTTCTACAAATGATCATAGAATTAGATATCAAAAATAGTTCAAATTTTATCATCAATTTTCAGGAATTTAAAGATGGATCAATTTAATTTAATTTCTATTTTTCTTCTATCAATGTAGCTTAATGAGTCAATTGTTGCCAAAAGTTGCAGCAATAATCACAGCCTAATAAATGAAAGTGACAATGACCACTCCCTACCATGGGAGTTTATGGGTGAATAACAAATGGTCTGTACAAAATGGATCAAGAAGAATACAAGTTACACAATTCCAGAAAAAGAACAAAGGTCCACAAAAGAAAAGCTCCCTGCATTACTCTCCAAACCTGAAACTGAATGCAGTCCTTCCCATTGGATAGCTACTCCAACAATCCACTAATTGTGCATCATTTATTTGGGCACCAGAAGTTTAACATTAGACATCTCTGGACTATATTTAGCCCAAAGTCATGGTGGTTTTCTGTAGGTAAATAATACATGGAAGGTTTGGCACCTTTCAGTGTATTTTAAAAAACATTTCTCATGAAGACTTGATGAAAATAGTTGGTTAAAAGAATTTCACAATCATATGAATTAATTTTGCAAGTCATTTTTAATTTTAAAAATTTCTTTCAGTTTTTCTGGGACTTCCAGGGATGCTTGGGCTACACATGTCAAGCACATCACCTGTCTATATTCTACCCCTAGATAATAACAAAAATGATTAATGTTTTAATGAATTTTCATTGTTGGAATGATGAAAGTTAACTTAAAGACGGCACTCCTGTAATGACTGCACTCCTGCATTGGTATATTAATTACTCAAGTTAGTAACTGTTAATAAAAATGTCCACCTTTTTACATATAAATGCTGAGCACGGATAATCAGGGAAATCTGAGACATCAAGTGATCGAAATATGCAAAAAACATAGACATCATAGGGGCAAATAAAAGTAATGGAGGCAACATTAATGTAATGGGGGTAACAGACGTCATGGGGCAACATAGACTGATTAAAATATGTGTGAATTATAAGACAATGCAACATTGAACAAGCAGCTGCATGAGTTGATTAATTAATTCATAATAAACTGGTATCTCCATTAATTCATGATGAGCTTATGTCTTCATTAATTCATAATGAACTAGCGCATGTGTTCTTAACCAGGGATGTCCACACCTCCTGGGGATGCAGAAGGCAGTGTCAGGGGGTGCAGAAAGATCTAGAAAATCTGGTTTATTTGTATTTTTTATTATATGGGTGCTAGAAATATGTTTTGAAATCAGGATGGTGTACAGGAACTTTTTTTCAAATCAAGAGGGGGAGTGTAATGCAAAAAGGGTTAAAAGTCTACTAGTGTCTCTACTGACAGAATTCCTGCACTAGTGTTTCTACTGACAAAGCTATTTCAGTGTGTCACCTCAGTTAATTGTTTGATGCTGAATAAAAGTTACATTGCAAGGAGTGTGGAGGATAAGTTTATAAAATAATATATCTGAAATTCATAAAAATATGTTCAATAAGTAAAGATATGACGACGGAGAACTTTGGAATACAAACATTTCAATAAGTTAGCTTGAACAGGTTTCACTTACATAAAGTGTATCGAGACCATAAAAGTTCATATTTCCGTAATTATTATAGTACATAAATTCTCACTACCACGGAAAGCCAAATATCGCTGCTGATGATTTTACTAACAAAAAGGTCTTAAATGAAATGCTAAATCATTAAAATTTTACTAATGGGCTACCAAAAATTGTTCAGTACTATAAATTGTTTGGCAAGCACATAACAAAATTCTGATATTTGCTTAGCAAATTAACTTTCAGTTGCTTGAAATATTTCTTTTTATCTTTTCTCTACATCATGGATCATCGCTGCGGTGTGTCAATACTAGAGATGTCGATTTCAAGCTGACAGGAGTTAAGGAATACAATTTTTTGCTTTCGATACCAATATTCACTTTAACAAGCATTTATTATTGACACTGAGAAGTCTGCTTTGGTTTCACTATTTCAAAAATTTGATTATATCATTTAAAATTATTATCAAATAATTTAACTCTGATGGACTTTATCCAGTTTGTATGTACCATTGTACCATATTACATTGTCATACGGAATATAAGCAATAAAAACTGGATATTTTAATAGCCAACGAATGAATGATAAAAAAAAAATTTGATAATATCATTGATTAGTGTACAAGTAACCTAGTTATATTTAAATGGTCTTTTAGAACAATTTGATGGTTTGATTTGACTTTAAGAAAAAAAAAAAAATGAAATGTCATGGTTATTTGAAAAGGATACTATTCTGAGTCCTCGTTCAGCAGGGTCTATAAGCATGACACCTCTAGACATGTAAATGGTTTGGTTCTGTTCCTCTAGATAACGTCGGACCTTTTTAAGAGTCTATAGATAGAAGATATGGATTTAGTGAATGAGTTATCAATGTCATTCATTCTGTCTTCTCGGATAACATGAATGGTCAATGCATCTCAGATAAATATGAATGGTCAATGTGTCTCAGATAATATGAATGGTCAATGCGTCTCAGATAATATGAATGGTCAATGCGTCTCAGATAATATGAATGGTCAATGCATCTCAGATAATATGAATGGTCAAGTGTCTCAGATAATATGAATGGTAAATGTGTCTCAGATAATATGAATGGTCAATGCGTCTCAGATAATATGAATGGTCAATGTGTCTCAGATAATATGAATGGTCAATGCGTCTCAGATAATATGAATGGTCAATTTGTCTCAGATAAATATGAATGGTCAATGTGTCTCAGATAATATGAATGGTCAATTTGTCTCAGATAAATATGAATGGTCAATGTGTCTCAGATAAATATGAATGGTCAATGTGTCTCAGATAAATATGAATGGTCAATGTGTCTCAGATAAATATGAATGGTCAATGTGTCTCAGATAAATATGAATGGTCAATGTGTCTCAGATAAATATGAATGGTCAATGTGTCTCAGATAAATATGAATGGTCAATTTGTCTCAGATAAATATGAATGGTCAATTTGTCTCAGATAAATATGAATGGTCAATTTGTCTCAGATAAATATGAATGGTCAAATTGTCTCAGATAAATATGAATGGTCAATTTGTCTCAGATAAATATGAATGGTCAATTTGTCTCAGATAAATATGAATGGTCAATTTGTCTCAGATAAATATGAATGGTCAATGTGTCTCAGATAAATATGAATGGTCAATGTGTCTCAGATAAATATGAATGGTCAATGTGTCTCAGATAAATATGAATGGTCAATTTGTCTCAGATAAATATGAATGGTCAATGTGTCTCAGATAAATATGAATGGTCAATGTGTCTCAGATAAATATGAATGGTCAATGTGTCTCAGATAAATATGAATGGTCAATGTGTCTCAGATAAATATGAATGGTCAATGTGTCTCAGATAAATATGAATGGTCAATGTGTCTCAGATAAATATGAATGGTCAATGTGTCTCAGATAAATATGAATGGTCAATGTGTCTCAGATAAATATGAATGGTCAATGTGTCTCAGATAAATATGAATGGTCAATGTGTCTCAGATAAATATGAATGGTCAATGTGTCTCAGATAAATATGAATGGTCAATGTGTCTCAGATAAATATGAATGGTCAATGTGTCTCAGATAAATATGAATGGTCAATGTGTACTTTTTATAATCAAGCAACAGCAGTTACTATTTTTGTAAAGAACGAATACTCTTTAAAAGATTACTTAGATAAAACATGAATTTATGATATGCTATAGCAATGTGATTTCATCATCTAGCAGCGATACATTCATGTATCAATTATTCTTAAATTTAAGTGATCTTGCAATATTAATTTATATTCCTCTTCTTAAGGTATGTATTACTTTTTCATAGTAAGTATCCATGCACATGAGGGCTATATAGCCAGTCAGACAGGCAAAGCAGCTTTCACAGTATGTTCGTGATCCAAGGCTTTCAGCATCGGCAAACATCTCGTTAATGTTGTTGATTGTTCGTTCATAAATGGCTCTGTCAACCTAGTAAAGTCAAGTATCACACACACAGTTAAACAAGGTTACCATATTCAGAAAATGCTAAATATCTATTTCAATTTTAAACAAAACAAACGTATCTGCTCTTGACTACGGGTACTGTAAACAAAACAAACATTATATCTGCTCTTGACTACTATAATCATCTCACCCGTCCCTCCAGCTCAGGTGGATATCTAGTTTGAAACTTCACTGAGATTCCCTCAGTAAAATCCCTCTGAATAAAAACTTTGGTATGTGGAGATCGCTGTGTGTCCATTTTGAATTTTCTGCAGGAAAAAAAATTAATTCAAATTTGTATGAGGTCATGTGACACTGCTAATAAAGTATATAATCAATGATCGTCATGGCACAGCAAGGGTTAGTGCAGCTTTGGGCGGGTTTAGCTTTTTGCCAACCCCCTTTCATGACCACCCCCCCCCCCCCCTGTAGTTGGCTGACAATATCGTCCCTCAGTATAAGGAATAAAGAGCCAATGAGCCGGCCACCCCTCTGCCTTTGCCCTTGATAATAGTATAACGTAACGTTTAAAGACTATATCTTTATTCATAGAAGATGTAGTCAATAATGCTATTATTGCTATGTTGGTGATTTGATGACATGCTGTACTAAAGGTTTGAGCACATTTTGTACAAGTGTTTTGAATCAAGGTTTGTACATGTGGGTGCACCCCTATTAAAAAAACAGCACTTTAGATCACAGTCACAGTATTTAAAGTTAAAATGTAGCTGGTGTTTTTTATTGTGAAAATGTTTTGATATTGATCACCCTACAAGGACATTTTTTAAAATAGAAATTTTACTTGCTGTTATGTAGACGACGTGTTTACATCATTTTCCCCTGGGCTGACCCCAAGATCAGTACAGCGTTTTTGGGTGTGGCTAATTAAAAATATTTGATTTGAAATGTAATAAAAAAACTAGTTGACAAGCCATTCATATAAATCAGACTCACTTCCTCTCTTTCTAGGACTCAGTATAAAATTCCATCCATCCCTCCTTTTATTTTATTTACTGACAGACTGTTAGCCAGTAATGTTTAAGGTGACTATACTTACTGTTTTTACCAGTACTTTATTTAATGGATTTTTTTTGGACATTGGTCCTGTGAGTTATAACCAGTATATTTTAAGACTACACACTCAAAAATTATTAATTGATCAAAACGTTGAGTCCATCTGATATCCAGGCATAAATAAAGGACACAACTAAAACATACCATTAATCCGAATTGGCTTCATAATATTATTATTTTAAAAAGAATGCCTCACTGAAAAGAGTTATGTAACCACACATAATTATGATAATTTTTTTATTTTTGGACACCCATGGCAACAAAATGCTTTTAGATTTCCTGGTTTTAAATTTGAAAAATAGTAATATTGTATTTTAGCACTGTAAATTAAATGCAATTAAGTCTTAACCAGTAATAATATTTCAACATTTTTAAAAATAAACTTCTTACCTCCCCTTTCATGGAGACTATAATAACTATAATAAAATAACCACATTGTCATACGATGAACAAAATTCAAGATTGTTCTGAGTATTCAGAAAAATATTAAGTTATCTTTAGAATTTTAGTGTTAAAAGTTAATTTTAATATATAATTTGGAATAAATTAATGGGCCATTTATTACGTGCTGTCATTCAGATGTTCAAGATTTCTATCAAGAAGAACACCTCAATGACAGAAGAACTCTCCATTTAAACTAGAAATCTTGCTAAAATGTCAAAAGATGGCTGTAACTTAATTTTTTATTTCTTGTCTAATTGTTTTTGTTATGGTACAAAATGATGTTAGGCCTTTTTAAATAAAATAAGTTACAAAAGTTGCAACATCATGATGGCTGAGAAAATCAATAATTTATACAAAACAAAGAAATAGAATACAAATTAAAAAAGAAAGCCTGTTTAGAAACTGTGCCACAAGCTTTATCATCATTTGTTTGGGCCTGCGCAGAAGGATGCACTGAAAAGTGTCAGAGTAATTTGAAGTTTTATGCTTTCTGTGCCACTCATTTCCCTGTGTTTTTGAAAACCTTTTTCCCCACTGCCTCCATCTTTGTTGCCGTGACGGCAGCAAGGTGGCGGCTTTCTAAAAAAAAAAGAGAAGGGCCAAAAAATGTCACCTAAAATGGGGAGGGGAAAGGGAGAGAATGTGCTGTTTTAACATCTTACAGAGAGAAACGAAAATCCAAACCTTCAATCCTAAAATCTACAAATCTGCCTCAACTGAATACTAAGTCAGTATCCCTTACACAAGGATAAATTCCATCCAAATTTTAGTCCCCAATCACTTGCGCGTAAATTTTAAAACCTAAAATCTATGACCTAGCGGTTTAGAGATAGTTGTTTAGGTTCGGGTTAGGTTTAGGGATAGATTTAGGTTCAGGTTAGGTTTAGGGAGCCCTTTCACTAGTTGTGGCCCATTGTCTGGAAAAGCTGCATTGGCATTTACCATGCCATTCATTTTCATCATTCACTTTTTAATTTACAAATCTAGAATATTAGAATATTTTAATTAGATTACCTAGACCTAAGCCATTCAATGTGTGTGTCAATTTTAAATGCTCAATAATTGAAGCAATAAATGAGGAAATAATAATTTGATTGTGATGCAGATTCACTGACTCGGTGATTGTGTCATTTACTCAGACTCAATTCATTCTCATTGGGCATTCATTAGATGGAAATGGTTTCTCATATTAATTTATAAGTCTAAGTCTAGTATACTGTTGGCATTTGTGACTAATTAAATCAATCGAGGTAAATATTTAAAAAAAAAAAGAAAAGATAATTTGAACCTTACTTTAGGAATCGTTCCTTTTTCGCCCGAGTTAAGTATTAGTTGTAAAGAAGGAGATGATTGTGAACAATTATTTCCTGCTTGCTTATTTAGCTTTCGTTTACGTCGCCATCTTGAAATGATAATAAATATGATTGGTTACCAATCCATAAGTCTAAATTACAAAACTTTATGACAAATTCTGACGTGAAACTTTCAAGTAAATGTATTTGTAAAAAATAATTAAATTTGAGTTGACCTACTCTCTTGAATTTAAAATAAATGAATCATTTTCGATAGCTAATGAGAAAAATACAACCTTAAATTTTATATAAATTTTAAAAAATCTAAGAAGTTCTTTAAATCTGATCTAGCCCTGAGATGTTTTGATATTTAGACCCTACGCCTACAAAGTTACAAAAACCTTGAACTTTGCTTCATCCATCATGGCAGCCACTAACAAGGTGTTTGCAAGGTTGCCTGGTGAATATTCATTCATTTTTTAAAAATCTTATTTATTTTTTAAAACATTTATTATATTAACAAAGAAATTGATAAGAATGCATAACTACCCGACGAGTGCAGTTTTAGATTCGGACGAATTGGATCTGTTGGGTAGCTGTAGACTTTTCCACCCTACAGACTCAGTCGATTTTCTCCAACTATTGCTGATACTGTGTTTACACTATACTGTTGTTCTACTACTCAGTAGTGTTGTTTACTCTTGAATTGGGGCTGCTGCGTGTTTTTAATACTTTGAATTTACATATTGACTTAACATATTAAGCCTTTCAATTGGAGTGCCTCAAATTATTTCAAAAGTGAAATATGCCCAGGAGAAGGAGAAGACAATGCAATGTATCAGTGATCAGCTAGGCTGCTAACCCCAAACTCCTAACCAAACCAATAAAGTAACTAACAGTAGTCAGTAGTCTGTATTAACCCTACTAACTTAAATAGCCAACAGTATTTGATGTGTTTTTATTTACAGCTGTATGTATTTTATCACAAATTTGTGGGATACATGCTTCTCAAATTAGTCCATTTATTAATAATGTTTAAAAAATGGAAGTCCAAAGTTCATGGCATAGAACTAAATGTTACATGGTGTGCAGTGTTATCTTTAAACTAAAGCCTAAGTTAGGAAAGACTTTGGCCTGGATTGCTGTTAGAACCAGTTTAAAATAAATGTTAGATTATTGATATTGAATTATATTATTGGAATGGCTAAATTCTAAATCCTAGATATTCTAATTTTTTTCTACCAGCCTTGCTAGCCACTAGCAAATGTAAATAATTGTTAATTAGCCTATATTAACACCTGATAGTGATAGAGTAGACTATAAATGCTCTGTAGGCCTGCTAAAAGATTTCTTCTATATATTATACATATTTCAAATACCTTACAGTTAGATTCCAAAGTGCAGGCCTGTTAGGACATGACATTGCTTTATTTTTTTTACTGCACTTTTATCATGGTTTTTCTAGTTTTTTTGTATAGACCCAACCCTTTTTTCAATATTAAGCTTTATTATCCATTCATTATAAAGTATATATTAATTGAACCTACTTTTTTGAAGAAATCCCAACATGTAAGAAGTGGACACTTAGACTTAGATGGTTAAACTATTGAAACAAAATCGAGGTAGAATCTATTGAAATTGACACAGAAGATCATGTTAATGATACTATGGTTATAGTTTACTCTGAAACAGGCTATAAAATTAGTATATTAAGCCTTTAAATTATTTCAAAAGTAAAATGTGCCCAGCGGTGGGAGAAGATAATTTATCAGTTAGGCTGCTACCCCTTAACCAATAAAATAACTACTAACTTAAAATAGTTCCTTACAAGTTTATTCTCTGTAGCAGCACTAAATGCAGTTATGGTTAAATTGGCATTGTCATCATTTCATAATAAAGTTGGGATAAAAGGTAACAGCACTAATTCAGTCCATGATATTTCTTGAGGGAGAGGGGGTGGGATTAAGGGCTTACAACTGTAACCATAAAAAATAAGCTTGTAAGTAAGTTCATGTTCTACTAGAAATGTTTTGGATTTTTTGAATTAATAATTTGACTGTTACCTATTTTAAAATTTTGATGAAACACTAGGAACTGAGTCATCAGGATATTTGGTTAACAGAGAAATATATCATTGCAGTTTTTAAAAGTTATTAGGATTAGATTGTTTGAGAAGTTATTTTCTTTTATTTACAGCCCTGTCTCGAACATTTGCTCGCAATGTTTACACTGCGACCAGACCAAACTTAATGATAGATGAAAATACAAAAGTAATTTGTCAAGGTTTTACTGGAAAACAGGTAAATTAAATTTGATTCATTTTACCACTTGTTGGATGCATTTTTATACCCCCTGTATAGTCTAGGATGGGAATAATTTATCTGAAGCTAATTTTAAAAGTGACTGTACAATATCAACTCATGGAAATGAGTCCAATGCTAGTTGCCCAAGCGATTGGTTAAGAGAGCAAAAATAATAAAGGCGAGGTTTATATATGGTGTGTGACCACATGAAGCTATTTATAGATTGCAGTACAGTGTTGGTAGTTCTCGTGTTGATTGTTTGATGAGACTTCATGTTAGAGAGTGTGGTTGATTCTCACAGAGCTCTTATCGTAAGTCGTCAGAGAATTCAGTGTTCATCAGGTTTCCTTTAGTGTAGTGTTTGGAGACATTAATAGATTACTTGATATTGTGAAATTTTAATATCTGCCTTCCTGTGATGAAAGAAGAGTATGGATAATTGGGAAGCTTGTTGGTGTTACTATACTCAGTGCACCAAAGTGTGACTAGTAAGTTGTTTGAGTCAAAATTCAAAATCCTAACCTGGAATTCACTAGTATCAACTAAAAAATGACAACGAACATCGAACAATGAAATACGAGCAGAGAGATAAAATTTCCAATACTTATTTAACATCTCTACTCTTACTCGCCAAAATTCAAACAGTAGCTCTGTAATTGTAATTAATAACCAAAAATAAATTTTAGTACATATATTTCATGTTCAATACATATTATGGGTGGTTGATTAATTGATATCAATTAATGAAGCGAGGCTGATTAGTTATTTGGATAATTTCCCTTTGGGTCTTCTTACCTAAAAATAATTTAGTCTTACACAATCTTATTGGCTTCCCTTACTTTGCTTTTTAAATGAGTGTGTTTTTTTAATTCTATTTACAGCATTCAGAAATATTTCTAAAAGAATAAATATCACCTGTGAACTAAAAACTGTTTGAACCATCCTTAAAATTCTTTCTATCAGGGTACATTTCACAGCCAACAAGCCATTGAATATGGAACAAAGTTTGTTGGTGGTGTTTCACCTGCCAAGGCCGGACAGACCCATCTTGGCTTACCAGTTTTTGCAAATGTCAAAGAGGTGAAGCTTTAAACTATTTAAAAGTGTACTACTTGGTTATTTTCCTTGACATAAATTTTAAAATAATTTTTTAATTCTTATTATTCTATTTAGATGCAGATTCTTTTATCGATCAAAACAAATTTCCACTGTACATATTCCTTTCAGCATTAAAAAAAACAACAAACATTCTTATGTTTTGTTAATTTGAATTTGTCTAGTACGTGTTGTTAAATCTTTAATTTTATACACATATTAGTTTAATAAAGTGTAAATATTCTCTTTTATTGAGACTAAATGACAAGAATCTTTGAACTGGCAATACAGCAAGATAGCCAAAGTTTAATTTAATGTTTCTTGACTTTATTTTAGGCTAAAGATGCAACTGGGGCCACCGCTTCAGTTATCTTTGTGCCCCCACCATTTGCTGCTGCTGCTATTATTGAAGCAATAGACGCAGAAGTTCCTTTAGTTGTGTGTATAACTGAAGGTATTCCCCAACAGGACATGGTAAGGGTAAAGCATAAACTTGTTCGTCAAGCTAAGACGCGGCTCATCGGTCCCAACTGCCCAGGTATTATCAAGGTTGGTCATTTTCAATTATATTTTTTTATAACTTAACTTTTAAACCAAATGTTTTAGTAGTCCAGATATTATACCTGGGGTCAGTCCACCTATGTATTGAGAGGCCCCATTTTTGGCCAACTGCACTTAAGTTTGTGGGTGGAACAAAACAACCCTAGCTACTCCACATATTTAAAATAGCTTAAAGTATTGTACATATAATTATTTATGGAAAAAGTTTTTCATTGCTTTTTAAATTCCCATACATAACCCTAGTTCAGGGGTACTCAAAGTCTAGGCATGAGCCAAATCTGACAGCATCCTCATGAGTTTTGTGCTCAGTACCGCTTCTGCAGATAATTTGTCAGACAGCATCATCTGTTTAAAAGTTTCTACTTTGTCATGTGCAGAATAAAGGAAACGTTTTTGGATACTTAATGACTTAATGAATTTCTCCAAACTGTAATGTCAAAGAAGGTTGGGAGTTTGTGTTGGGAGTTTGTGGTCTTTTGCACAAATCTGAACACGATGGTTGCTGTTGCTGTTTTGGTGACATTACTGGCTAACTCAATTTGACATGACAAGGTAAGAACAAGAGTGTCTTGGAGTTTCAAGGGAGATGACATTCTTTGAGACGAAATTTGCATTATTTGCCAGATGTTAATTTCCTGACCAGAAGAAGGAAAAGATGCATTTTCAAGCTGATTTAAAGATTTTGCAGAACTGTCAAGAATACTTATTTTTGTTGCAGGCCCATTTCTTGTGATTGGACAGCTGCTGTCCCAAATGTACCAAAATAAACTTGGCTGTTTTTCAGCTTTCAACAGTTGTTGTCCAGGAAACTTTGAGACCAGGATGTGCCCATTTTCTGGTGCCAGTCTATTACAGTATCCAGCTGGCAGATAAAGTCTTGATAATATTTGGATCAAATTATCCCTGTGATACGGCAATATTTGGATCAACTTATACAACTTACTGTAACAGTTGTTTGTGGGGTTTACCTCAGAACCAAATTCAGAGACTCCAAAAGATACAAAATTCTGCAGCACGCATTGTATCGCGGATAAAGAAATCTGATCACATCACCCCAGTTCTTAGGGGATCTCCATTGGCTTCCTGTAAGTGAACGCATTGACTACAAAATTGTGTCCCTGGCGTACAGCTGTAAAGAACGCTCTGCACCTGAATATCTTAAAGAACTGATTAATTAACATGTATCCTTAAAGAACCTGCGGTCTTCAACATAGTCCTTACTGAGAGTTCCCAGTGTGGATGGACACAGAAAAAAGTCATACAGAGTTCGCTCTTTTGAAGCGATAGCGCCAAAATTATGGAACAGTTTGCCCTAATGCTTTCCCTTTAAGGGAAATTGAAATTGATCAAAAATAATTAAAGAAACATTTAAAGATTTTAAAAATTTCAATAGCTTGAAGAACATCAGAGCGGCGCCACTGTGAGCATACTAAAGTAGCATGGATACAAGCGCTATAGAAGTATTGGATTCAGTACACATGATACGACACTATTTGGATCAATGTAGACATGTGGGATGTCATTTTCAACCATAAACATCATCCAGACAAAGTTGTGCAAAATGACCATAGACAAACATCTGTAAAAATGAATACACGTTGCTTTGACCTCATTCTCATTCTCCAGACTACGGCACCATTTGGAGTAGTAAAAATCAGTTTCATTTCTCCAACTGAAGCTTTTCAGCAACCAATGAAAACAAATAACATGCTACTCTTCTTTTTAAAAAAGTTGAATTTCTGTATTAAAATAAAGACAAAATAATTACAAGAAAATGACTTTGTTTTAAAAATGTTATTATGGAAAATTGTAATATAAACTTTACATCAAATTTAATATAAGTTGACCCATGTGCCTTCTGGATGCTTTGGCATGGCAGCGGACGCCGTAGCAGAGTAGGGCATAAATTCAAATTGGGATTGCCCCAGGTTGAGGGATCCGCAACCAAAATCTGGCATCAAAAAGTTTGAGTACCCCTATCTTAGATATACACTAAAAATGTTTTGTAAATATTGAGGTCCTGATTTAAGTTGTATGAATGGATTCAGTTAATGTGGGGCCTACTAACATGTGTGTCTTATGAATGGATACTGTCGTCAATGCGTGGGACTCATTAACAGTTGTGTCTTATGAATGGATACTGTCAATGTGGGGCCCACTAAAAGGTGTGTCTTATGAATGGATACAGTGATGATGGGGGCCCACTAACATGTGTGTCTTATGAATGGATACAGTGATGATGGGGCCCACTAACATGTGTGTCTTATGAATGGATACAGTGATGATGGGGCCCACTAACATGTGTGTCTTATGAATGGATACAGTGATGATGGGGGCCACTAACATGTGTGTCTTATGAATGGATACAGTGATGATGGGGGCCACTAACATGTGTGTCTTATGAATGGATACAGTGATGATGGGGCCCACTAACATATTAAAAAAAGTATTTTTAGTCGTGTCTATACACACAATGTGTTCACTTCAAAATTAGTAATGTTACAATTTTTGCTCAATTAGAAATATTTTCTCCGTCTGCAATCCAAATTTTTTCTTTAGGGCTTAATGCCCTCGTACTAAATTAAGATTTTTTCTATTATTTGAAGTTGATAGGTACTTTTATTTGAAGTATATATGGGATGTACTATATTAAATGTTTTTTTTCTCAATTTTTAGCCTGGAGCATGCAAGATTGGTATAATGCCTGGCCATATACATAAGCCTGGCAAAATAGGTAAATAGCTAGAATATTTTAAACTTGGTCAATTGACAATTTACAAAGCAAATTGCACCCATTCCCATCTGAAATCTGCCAATACTATTTATTACTTTAATTCTTATGAAAACTGGTCATCAACTACACTCTAATTTGATATTAGAAACAACTAAATTACACTTTGTTGATATAAGAAGAGATTTAACTAAACTTTGATTTAAAAAACAACAAAAACAACTATAACAATTTTTCTGACCACTGTCTTCACTTAGGTATTGTTTCTAGGTCTGGTACACTGACCTACGAGGCTGTCCACCAGACAACACAAGCAGGGCTTGGACAGTCTCTATGTGTTGGTATTGGTGGAGACCCCTTCAACGGAACGAACTTCATTGACTGCTTAGAATGTTTTCTCAACGACCCGCAGACAGAAGGTAAATATGACAAGGCGGTGGATTGGGTTTCCTGGGCTCTAAAAAAATATAAAAAATTTATTTTTAGCAAACTTCGCTTTGTCTGTTTAGCTTTGACTGTTTAGCTTTGACCTTGATTGTATGATTGTTGTTTGACCTTGATTGTATGATTGTTGTTTCAGGTATTGTTTTGATTGGAGAGATTGGAGGACAGGCTGAAGAGAATGCAGCTGAGTACTTATTACAGAATAATCAGGTGAGTTACCAGACGGTGACCAGCAACTTTAACACATGATAACCAAGCCCCTCTCCATGTTTTAGTTTTGTTATGAGTATGGGTAAAGGAAGGGTTCTCAACACCTGAGGGTCAGGACCCCTTGGGATCAACTGACAAGATGTTCAGTGGTCGCTTGAAAATTTCAGAAGTGGGGTGGCGGTGTTGTGTAAATTGTGCATTTTGTCTTATTTGAATTTCTATTTTAAAATTTAAATATTATTTACTGTGATCAGACTCGTTTCCTATTGTAACAACACTCTAACTGCCCTACTTTGACTACCCTACTCTGACTGCCCTACTCTGGCTACCCTGCTCTGACTGCCCTACAGCTTCATAAAAAACCACCCACCCTGTGCTTCATGCGGTAGATGTCTGCAACTAATTTCATACAAATATTTTGGCAATTTCGTTTCATTTTTGTAAACATTATATTCAATTTATGATTTGAATATTTTTTTTCCCCGTTCTTTCATTGTTTTTCCTAAACTTAAATCTTGGAAGCTTCCACGCAAAACTAAAACCAGGTGTGTGAATTTATAAACATTTTTTCTGGGAATTAATAATAATAATAATAAAGTTCATTTCAAAAACACGCTTCATCCCCAAAGGCTCGAAGCGCGGTACAAAGTCAACAAAAAACATATCTATAATTTACCACATTTAAAAAAAACGCAACACTACAAAAACTAATTACAAGCAACAATCTCAAAGTCTTTCTAGCCATTTCAACCCGGAGCAACACAGCCATTATGCATTAACTGGAAAATAAGGTAGACAATCATCCCAGAAGGTATTTGCGAAATAGATGTGTCTTTAGATCGGTTTTAAAGGACTCCAGTGTCTGACAGATTCCCCTCTGCAGAACCCTCCACCCTACTTATCCCTTATTTCTGCTTCTCTTCGACCCCCGATAAAATTACAGTACCAACACGTTTATATGTATAAAAAAGCTCTGCTCCCTTCTCAAATCTCAACAAATATTTCTCAATTTCAATGTATAACTCTGATTTTGGGTTGTCACAGCTTGACAAATTGATAAAGGGGTCATGGCACTAAAAAGGTGGACCACTGGGATAGGATTAGATGAATGAGCTATTGTTTTAAAGCCTTCAACTTTGATGCCTTCATGATCACTAGTTGGTTTGTACATGCAATTTTTCTTCTCCCAATTGGGTGGAACACATTCTAGAAAACCATTACTTGTACCTGCCAGGTATTGCTTATTGTGAAAAGAACCGCACCTGCTTCAGCCATAATAAATAAACAGTTTTAATAGCATTCTTATTTTAAAAACATGTTTGAAGTTTGTTGAGTTAAGCATTTAGCTGGGAATGGGTTAAGTAATAATGTTCCTATAAACTTGTTTATCTTTAGGGACCGAATGCAAAGCCGGTTGTGTCTTTCATTGCTGGGTTAACAGCCCCCCCTGGTCGTCGGATGGGACATGCTGGTGCCATCATTGCTGGAGGCAAAGGAGGTGCGGACGAAAAGATAGCTGCTCTCAGGGGGGCTGGTGTTGATGTTACAATGTCTCCTGCACAGCTGGGAAGTACAATGGCTGCTGTAAGTAGTCTTTATTGCTCTTGCTCAGGGATTCTCAAACATTTTCTGATTACTGACCCCCTTTGGCCATATGCTCATCCTCAGTGCTCCCATCTGATATTGAAGCATCCTCATAGTAATTTGACACAATTCTCTACTCAAAATATTTACACAGTCATCTACTCAATCACTTGGGATGTAGGCTCAGAAATAATCTGAACATGTTGCCACTTAGGATCTAGGCTAAGAAATAATCTAATGTAGATCTTGACTGTCTTGAACAATTTGTAGATAGTACTCATCACTTTTGGTATGGTAGAATGTACTATTCAATTTGGGTATGGGTGAACTACTGGGCCGGATATGAATAATTTCAGATTGTGCCGTACTGCACCCAATCAATACATAATGAATAGTTGATGCTAAGCTTATGTTTATATTATTATTTATATTATTATTATCATCAATTCAGACTCTTATTTTAATGGACATTTTGGATTTCTAGTATTAAATGTTAATTATTTTGTTTGTTTTAAAATTCCAGGCAATGCAGCGAAAGAGGTCTTAGCTGTTTTGAAGAGTTTTGTCCCTTTCTTCTTGAAATGAATATATTGCATAGTCTTGAGGTTGTAAAATATTGTGGGTGCCTAACACAAACTTGTTCATTTGGAATGCTTGGAAGGAGTTCATGTTAGTTTTATGAATGAAGAAACGGTTTGGTCAAATCAAAATTTGACAAGACAGAGTATCAAATAGTGTGTGCCTCTATTTGTTCGCATAAATTTAATTCTTTAAATAGCAAAGTTTGAAAGAGCATTCGAAAAAGTCAAATAATTTTTTTGCTGTAAAAAATTTATGAACACTCTACGCACCTTTGGCTGATATGGTGCACTACCCTTCACAAGAAACTGTATGTTTATTCCATGCTACAAGACAGTAGAGTGTCTGTTGAAAACTGTTTGAAAGTCTTATTTTGAATTGTGATATAATGTTATGAATAGTGTCACCTAGGTTGAAATGTTCCCCTATAATGTATGTAGAGTTACCCAAACTGGTGCTCCATATAGGAACTTATATTTGACTGACAACTGGAACTCAATGATTCGAATAGTTTTTGACAAGGGAAATGATCAGAAATGAATAGATGAGCATCGCCTTAGTAACATAAATTTCCTATAAGTTTGAGAAAGCTGGGTCGGAGAGTTGTTAACTGACAGTAATTTCAAATAATCTCCGATGCAAATCTTTAGTAGACTAACTTGCACATGTGAATTGACTTGATGACTCACTTTGTATCCAACAGTTCCATGAAGATGACCTTGTGGATGTTTCTATTATTTCACTATCATGTATACATTTAACACAGGCTATTGTAATATTTATGCCATTTTAAAAAAAAAGTTAATGGTCCATGTTCTTTAAATGACATTTTGATTGTTGACAAGGACTGCGTGTGTGAGTGTGTGTGTGTGGACTAGAGCAGGAAGACTCCATTGTGTGTATGAAAATAATAGCTTATTGAATTGAGTTTTAGAGAAATGTTTACAGCTAGTGCTCGACTTACGACCTGTGCAGCTTACGACCACGAACACTAGCCATACTGTATTAGATTTCAGATTTATTTCTGCCTCAATGATCAGTCGAACGGCGTATCATTGGCCATCGTGAACATTGAAATTTATTATTTATAACAATAATAAAATAAATTTATGATATAATTTAACTTAAATATTTTTATAACATCACTTCACATTACTGTACTCATAGCATACTCAACTTACGACTAAATTGGGTTACGACCGGTCTGTCGGAACCTATCGTGGTCGTAAGTCTAGCACTGGCTGTCTGTATATGTTCACTTGTAGATTTCCCAACTCTCCAGTCAGCTGATCTTTTCTACTAATGCAGAGTTTTGGGTCATGCATCTTTATGTTTAATGTTTTGTTTAAAACCTTAGTCTAATGTTTAAGCCTGTCAATTAAGATGACTTAATATTAGTCTGTGTTAGCCTGTCAAGTAAGATGACTTAATATTAGTCTGTGTTAGCCTGTCCATTAAGATGACTTAATATTAGTCTGTGTTAGCCTGTCAAGTAAGATGACTTAATATTAGTCTGTGTTAGCCCATCAAGTAAGATGACTTAATATTAGTCTGTGTAAGCCTGTCAAGTAAGATGACTTAATATTAGTCTGTGTAAGCCTGTCAAGTAAGATGACTTAATATTAGTCTGTGTTAGCCTGTCAAGTAAGTACTTCATCTTAGTCTTTATTTCTTACTGTGCTTTTTAGGAACATCTACAAGGACCAGACTAAACTCAGGAATGGTGTTAGCTTTTTTTATTTATTGTAGGATCCATGTTAACTTTTCTGTCTAGTGGGCTCAATGTTATTTTTTTGTCTGTGTTGTTAAATCGATGATTATTGTAAACTTTGGTCTTTGAGTTGGACTACTGCTAACTTTTGTCTGTCTAGTTGGGTCAATGTTAAATTTGTCTGTCTTGTTGGGTCAATGCTAACTTTTGTCTGTCTAGTAGTATAATAGTAGTCATCTGGCTGTATGGTGTAATCTTGGCTTAAAATTTTCTTGAAGAAATAAAAAAAAAAAAAGAGAAGACTGAAGACAAAAACTATTTACACAGTCTGTAGTTTGCCACGATACAGGGAATAAGATGAACAAGGGGAGAGAAGACTGAAGACAAAAACTATTTACACAGTCTGTAGTTTGCCACGATACAGGGAATAAGATGAACAAGGGGAGAGAAGACTGAAGACAAAAACTATTTACACAGTCTGTAGTTTGCCATGATACAGGGAATAAGATGAAGAAGGGGAGAGAAGACTGAAGACAAAAACTATTTACACAGTCTGTAGTTTGCCATGATACAGGGAATAAGATGAACAAGGGGAGAGAATGTTGGTGTTACAATGAGGACACAAAGAACCTTCACAATATTGTTATTTTTTTGGGGTTTTCTTCCAAGTTGAAATATTACCACATAAGTAATGCAATAGATGGAACTCAACAAATTTATATTGACAAACAAATAATTGTGGGTATCAAATTGCCTTCAACACCCTTCAATGAGTTTTGTTGTTCAAGTATGTGTCTGCCATTACCATGATCAATTTTTAGTTATTTAAAATGTGGGGCTGCCATTTGAATAAATGAATGAGACAATAAAAACCAAAAATAATTCTAATTGTGTTGGTTGACTTTTTTGCTTTTCAAATACATTTTTGATTTACACATATTCATAAACCCAGCTGTATAAATTGTCACCATTTAGCTTTATAACAACTCAGACCTTGAAAATGTTGACCATGAGGTTCTTATCAGTGGTGAAGGTAAGGCTGGTGCCAGGGCCGGCGCTAGGAGGGTGCGGGGCCATGGGAAAATTGAATTTTGCGGGTCCGATGACGTAATATATTCCGCCGATAGGATATTAAGACACGTTATAGTATAGTCGTACTGGGGCCTTGCTTGTCAAAATGGGACGCTTCATACGAATCTTTGTTCTCTCGCTTAGTTTCCGAAATTTTAATTTTTTCATAAAGCAGTTAATTGCCCGGGCCCAAATTACTCATCGCGGCTCCATTGTTACAATATCAAAGTTGTCAAAAACAAATGACGAAAATACGAAGCTGAATGAGCCATTGTGTTGACTGGATTAGGAACTATTAGTAGGCTTAGATATATTATTAATATACTACGGTTCACTTCGCCAGCTTGTGCCCTCTGGACGAGCTGACAATTTTACACCTCTCTTCCCCCGCACACCGCTTTCTACCTCACTGGTTCTAACATCACAGACATTGAAGGTCTTTTGCCATCCCAAGACAGTCGTGAGATTCCATTCAACATATGATCCTTCAAAGTTCACTAAGAAAAAGAAACGAGGCCACTTGCTTGGGACCCTTCATCTTTTTAAACAGTTAAGTTATTAAGGAATAAATAGATGTAAAAGTGACTGGAGAATGAAATGCAAGAATACAGAAGCTATTATTATTATAGAAAAAAAAAACTATTAAAAATACCACACCTTAAAAAATTTATATTACTTAAAAATAGCCATTTTATTGAAATGACATAGATGTGCATGATAGACATTGTCTATAAATCAACCCCAAGTGGTGTGGTGGCTTGCTTCACTATGCCATTTATTATTTTTTGGCACTGTTATTGACCACATGATGTGCTTTATTTGTGTTTATGTTGACCGGCATGATGTGCTTTATTTGTGGACACCCTTGACCACATGATGTCCTTCATTTGTGTTTATGTTGACCACATGATGTGCTTTATTTGTGGACACCCTTGACCACATGATGTGCTTTATTTGTGGACACCCTTGACCACATGATGTGCTTTATTTGTGGACACCCTTGACCACATGATGTGCTTTATTTGTGGACACCCTTGACCGCATGATGTGCTTTATTTGTGGACACCCTTGACCACATGATGTGCTTTATTTGTGGACACCCTTGACCACATGATTTGCTTTATTTGTGGACACTGTTGACCACCCAGGCTGGGAAGAAGTAGGGTGGCTCAAATATGACGAGCGTCAGCAGCAAGAGGACCATGACGCTCATGATCTCATAACTCTTGGTGTAAGACATGGACACTTTGTAGATCATAATGGTCAGTGTCGAAATGAAGAGGATAAAGAAGATGCCCTTAAAGTAGGTCACGGTACTGAACGTGAAGTCATCATCCAATTCGTCATCACAAACGCTCTGATCGCAGCTCTTGTAACGACTGGAATTGAATTGGCTTAGACTTGGTTCGGGTTGTCTCCCTTGGTTGGAGCACCTGTTCCCACACATCTCGTACTGGTGACTCTGTCAATATTGGGATAGGATGTTCATGTTAACACTATTGGGATAGGATGTTCATGTTAACAATATTGGGATAGGATGTTCTTTTTAACAAAATTGGGATAGGATGTTCCTTTTAACTAAATTGGAATAGGATGTTCATGTTAACACTATTGGGATATGATGTTCCTTTTAACAAAATTGGGATAGGATGTTCCTTTTAACAATATTGGGATAGGACGTTAATTTTAACACTCTTGGGATAGGATGTTAATTTTAACACTCTTGGGATAGGATGTTCATTTTTAATAATATTGGGATTAGGATGTTCATGATCATGTTAACAATATTAGTATAGGATGGTCATGATCATTTAAAAAATATTGGGATAGAATGTTCATTGTAGCAATATTGGGAAAGGATGTTCATTTTAAAAATATTGGGAATATAATTTTCATTTTAACAATATTGGGAGTTTAATTTTTATAATATTGGGATAAGTTCATTTTAACAATGGGATATAAATATTGATGTTAACAACTGGATAGGATGTTCACGTTTACAATTTTTGGATATAATGTAAATGTAACCATTTTAAACATCCTTGTTGTAAACTAAACATTTGTATAACTTAAATAAATGACTTTAAAAGTCTTTGATGTAAACCATATTAGTGTGACCGACAGACAAACTCAACTGTAAATTGCGCCATGGTATTGCCATACAGGATCTCACTCCAACAGGCAATGCTCATTACACGTTGTCACTTTATTTGTTATCAAAATATCGTAATTCTCTTCTGATTTTTTCTCAAAGTTTTCGGGAGATTTGTGCATTAGAATCTTGTTTGACTACAACCTCTGACCTCGCTCTTCAACCTCTGACCTCACACTTCAGCCTCTGACCTCACTCTTCAAGTTCTGAGATTTTTTAAAATACAAAATATGACACAGATAATAATAATATTTTCAATTTAAATTGTAGCAATTAATAAGATTTAAAATAAAAAAATGAACCAGATAGCAAATAATACCTGCATGTAAATTATATACATTGAAGATATTTAATTTGTCAGAGTAAATAAACCAATAAGAGGGTTGGACTGAGATAAAGTAAAATATTGTATGTAGACACGATAACTTAGGGGACATTTATTTGACGCGTCTAGATTCTCTATTGAACTCGTCTATTGAACATGGCTTTACAGTACAGCCATACAATAGCATTACAGCCATTAATTAATCTGTGTATAACTTAAAAAAACAAAACATGGATCATGGAAACATTGTAAAAATAATTATGATCGTCAAATTTTTTGGAAATATAGGCCTACTTACCTGGCCCTAAGTCTATGTTTGGCCACTTTTTGGCCTACATCACGGGGCAGATTTATCTTATTTTCTTAGTTATAAACAGTTTCAGTTGTGGAGCATCTCTCTTTACTCTGTACACACTTAAACTTGCCACATCTTTTCAACTTGTTCCATTACTTCCGTCCAAACAAACATATCCCCGCAGCCAACGGATTTACCCGATAAAATGCGAATAACTTGAATTTAATTTGTCATTTGTGTTGTTTACCTAACCAGGGCCGGGGAAGGGAGTAGGGCTTGTGATATAAGGTTTGATGTGTTAGGTGCGGAGGCGTAGCGAGACATTACGCCACCCTGGGCGTACTTTGAGTTTGACGCCCCCCCCCCCTCTATTTCTCCCCCCCCCCCCCCATTATTCCCCCCCCCCCCGAAAGAAAACATATGCAGTGTAAACTGGAAATAACGAACCTTGAAATAGCGCTGTCCCTGGCATATGCGATAACTCGTACAGAGACGTAATAATTTTAATACTAGCTGAATATTGAATTAGCACCGTCCCTGTAAATAGCAACACTTTTGTTTAGGTCCCAGGGGTTTTGAGTCATATCCCGCTTTTTCTGTTTATAAAAATGTCCCTTTGATCGGCAGTTATTTTTTTAGGGGCGGAAGGGGGGGGGAAGGTGGGGGTGGGGGCGAGAAAAAAATCAAAGGCGTTAAAGTGTCACGAGCCCAACCAAATTTGGGTTGGTCACTTGGTTGGTCACTTGGTTGGTCACTTGGTTGGGTCACTTGGTTGGTCACTTGGTTGGTCACTTGGTTGGTCACTTGGTTGGTCACTTGGTTGGTCACTTGGTTGGTCACTTGGTCGGTTACTTGGTTGTTACTTGGTTGTTACTTGGTTTGTCACTTGGTTGGTCACTTGGTTGGTCATTTGGTTGGTCACTTGGTTGGTCATTTGGTTGGTCACTTGGTTGGTCACTTGGTTGGTCACTTGGTTGGTTACTTGGTTGGTCACTTGGTTGGTCACTTGGTTGGTCACTTGGTTGGTCACTTGGTTGGTCACTTGGTTGGTCATTTGGTTGGTCACTTGGTTGGTCACTTGGTTGGTCACTTGGTCGGTTACTTGGTTGGTCACTTGGTTGGTCACTTGGTTGGTCACTTGGTTGGTCACTTGGTTGGTCACTTGGTTGGTCATTTGGTTGGTCACTTGGTTGGTCACTTGGTTGGTCACTTGGTTGGTCACTTAGTTTCTTCACTTAGTTGGTCACTTAGTTGGTCACTTTAATTCTATTACATGTGGTCGCTACTTGAAAACGCTTGAGAACCTGTGTGCAGGTAACTAGACTTGACAGGTCCTGTGTTATAAGACTTGACAGGTCCTGTGTTATAAGACTTGACAGGTCCTGTGTTATAAGACTTGACAGGTCTTGTGTTATAAGACTTGACAGGTCCTGTGTTATAAGACTTGACAGGTCCTGTGTTATAAGACTTGACAGGTCCTGTGTTATAACGACAAATAAATGTTACAATCTAGGACATTCTGTGGAAATTTATGATTTGCTGAAAACTCAAAAAGTCACTTGTATTCAAAAAGTTTCACCCGGGATATCCCGTGCAGTTTGTCTTGTAATTTAAACGGACTTGGATCCTGTGGGTGAAGATCTAGTGTTAAGTAATGAGTAGACAACCATTGCAACACTTGTGTCATTTAAATTTTAAATTGAGTTATCTCCCTTTGATCATAAAATATCTCGGTCTTCAGGGCAAAGTCTAATCTTAAAGCCTTGCTACCCTAATAGTGGCTACTCTAGTAGTGGCTACCCTATTATTGGATACCCTAGTAGTGAATGCCCTTGTAGTAGCTACCCTAGTAGATGCTCCCCTATTAGTGATTACCCTTGTAGTGGCTACCCTATTAGTGGCTACTCTAGTAGTGGATACCCTTGTAGTGGCTATCCTAGTAGTGAATACCCTTGTAGTGGCTTCCCTAGTAATGGAAACCCTTGTAGTGGCTACCCTACTAGTGGATACTCTTTTAGTCGCTACCCTAGTAGTTGGTAGCTTTGTAGTGGCTACCCTATTAGTGGCTACCCTTGTAGTGGCTATCCTAGTAGTGAATACCCTTGTAGTGACTACCCTATTAGCGGATAACCTTTTAGTGGCTACCCTAGTAGTTGATAACTTTGTAGTTGCTACCCTATTAGTGGCTACCTTGCAGTGGCTACCCTAGCAGTGGATACGCTTGAAGTGGCTACCCCAGTTTTAGATACCCTAGTAGTGGCTAATTTAGTGGTGGCTACCCTAGTAGTGATTACCCTAGTAGTGGCTACCCTAGTAGTGGCTACCCTTGTAGTGGCTACCCTTGTAGTGGCTACCCTTGTAGTGGCTAGTGGCTACCACAAGGTTGGGTAATCCAAATGGCTTCAAAAGCCATGCAGATCTCGAGTCAAGTCTTCGCGAAGTTTTCGATGGCCGTCCTTTGATTAATAAACCAATCAAGGTTAAAGGAGTAATGAAAACGATGCAGACGATTATTGACTCGTTATAAATGCACATAACGAACAGCCCATACTCTCCTACCCAGGTCAACCATACAAGACATTATACATAGCTCCAAGAACTATTTGAAGCAATGAGCATTTGTAAGACTAGAAATAAATTGGTTGATACATCCAACTCAATTCATAACAAATACCGTACATCTGCACGATCAGGGCGTATTCTTTCCATCAAAGTTGAGACCGAAAGATATTAAAAACCCCTCCTTTTTCCCCATTCTATAAGATTTTACCAGCCCCCCCCCCCCACCACTCCAGGTGAGTAATATATATATATGTGTATGTTACTCAGCTGAAATAACCACGTCAATATTTCGTCTCCACCTTAACGCACTACGTGCTTGAACGTTGTTTAGGCCCTTGGTCTNGTCATCAACCTTCTCTGCTCATCGCTGTCATCAACCTTCTCTGCTCATCGCTGTCATCAACCTTCTCTGCTCATCGCTGTCATCAACCTTCTCTGCTCATCGCTGTCATCAACCTTCTCTGCTCATCACTGTCATCAACCTTCTCTGCTCATAGCTGTCATCAACCTTCTCTGCTCATCGCTGTCATCAACCTTCTCTGCTCATCACTGTCATCAACCTTCTCTGCTCATCGCTGTCATCAACCTTCTCTGCTCATCGCTGTCATCAACCTTCTCTGCTCATCACTGTCATCAACCTTCTCTGCTCATCGCTGTCATCAACCTTCTCTGCTCATCACTGTCATCAACCTTCTCTGCTCATAGCTGTCATTAACCTTCTCTGCTCATCACTGTCATCAACCTTCTCTGCTCATCGCTGTCATCAACCTTCTCTGCTCATCACTGTCATCAACCTTCTCTGCTCATCACTGTCATCAACCTTCTCTGCTCATAGCTGTCATCAACCTTCTCTGCTCATCGCTGTCATCAACCTTCTCTGCTCATCGCTGTCATCAACCTTCTCTGCTCATCGCTGTCATCAACCGTCTCTGCTCATCGCTGTCATCAACCTTCTCTGCTCATCGCTGCCATCAACCAGGTTTGGTGGAACCTCCTCTGCTCATCGCTGTCATCAACCAGGTTTGGTAGAACCTTACCGCAACCTAAACATCTGCACGATACGTTCACATCAATACAGAAACATAAAATATTTGTCAGTTTGTAACGTGTATGCATAGCATCATACATATACATTAAAATCTAGACGTCCTAGACAGAATCTGAGCTCTTATTTGGCAACATTGATTGATTGATTGGATACTTATATAGCGCTGGTATCCATGCTACTAAAGAATGCTCACTGCGCTCTGGTTTTCTTAAATCTATTTAAACAAAAACGTTTTTCAATGTTTCTTAAAATATTTTTTATCACTTTCAATTCCCCTCAAAGATTGAGGCAAACTGTTCCATAATTTTGGCGCTATTCCTTCAAAAGAGCGCACTCTGTATGACTTATTTCTGTGTTCCCCCACATGGGAAATTTTCAGTAAGTACTGTGTTGAAGACCGCAGGTTCTTTAAGGATAAGTGTTTATAAATCAGTTCTTTAAAATATTCTGGTCCAGAGCCTTCTATACAGCTGTACGACAGGGACAGAATTTTGTAGTTAATGCGCTCACTCACAAGAACCCACAATCGAGATCTCGTAGAACTGGGGGTGATGTGGTCAGATTTCTTTATTCGCGATACACCTTCAAACAATATGACGTAAATATATATTACTCTCTAACAAAATAAATCTTTTTTGACCAGTTGATAATTCAGTCAAATAGTTTAGTTATAATTCAATCAAACGGTTTAGAATAATTCAGTCAAATTATTTAGAATAATCCAGTCAAATTATTTTTAAAAATTCAGTGAAAAGATCCATCAAATCAGTTTAGTTTGAACTTTGTTATACCACAGTAACTGAAAATGTCCATAATTGTTAACAATAATTGTGTTCAATGCCGTTGTCACATCGATGCCATTGGCACTTTCATGCCTTTGTCACTTTGAAGCCATGAAATAAAAAAAAATTAATATTAAACAAAATGCCATCTGTTTACTGTCAAGACCTTGAGTTTGTGAAATTTAGCAAGTAAACATAGATTTGACTTTATAGATCGTTTTCGACTTATTCACAGATTTCAATTTATTAATTAGATGGAAGCAATGCCCTAACACTAACAGAGTTGAAGTTGAACCCAAACAGAGTTACCCTCCTTGATAAATGGCTGCTACTTCCGGTGACCTACACATGAGTAACTCGTCACATTACACGCCTGAGCACCTACGGTTGAATCCTCCATTCGACACCCACAGAAGCGATGCTGTGTGGCTCTCTTCATCCGTGGTCACGTGTTCATTCGTTGTCACCCAAGCGTGAACAACTGGTTGACGTTGTCACGTGTTTCAGCCCGCGAGATGGCGGCAAGAACCAGTAACTATTCAGCAAGATGGACCGGCCATTATGGACAGTTCACCAGTGAGAAACACGTCATTAGGAACCTGCCTGTATGGACCCCAGGGTGTGCTTGACCTCTGCACGATCAACTGACCACAGGGCGGACGATAAAATTTGTCTTTGGGGACACACGGTCATCTCCAGACCGCAATCTGTGTGAGAGGACGAGTCGTCTGCTGTTGTAATGATG